TAACTACTATTATGTGGTGTTTTGCATATGGGAATTATATTTTTCTTCTGTGTAAGCATTGAATTCTGCAGTCTATTGAAGGACGTTGCTTTTAGATGATAAAGATCTCAGCTTTACAAAAAAATCACTTTCATATTGGGATGAAGTTTTACTCAGTGTCTGTAATCTGATGTTCAGATTTATGGTCACTCTTTTGTTCTGTGTTTAAATTACAAAAATAGATCATCAGTAGTCTACAGAGTCTATTCCCAGCCTTCTTTGTATTACATTTCAGAGAAACAACCAAAAGGCAAGTGAGTGACAGTCAAAGAGTTTTCTCCAGCTTAGCTACAGAGGAGCATAACATGGCCCTTTGGCCCTCAGACTTGGGGGCCAGAATGCCTAGAACCCAAACCTGGCTTCTTCACCCACTATCTGTTTGACTGTGACATAGTTACTTCTGTGTACCATAGTTTTATTCAACCACAGAATCGTGCTAATAGTGGTTCTTTTCTACTTCTAGGTTCTTTGTGAAGGTAAAATAAGGTTAATATGTGAAAAGCAGAAAGAAAACAAAATTTTATCTAAGTGTTATTATAAATATTAGTTATAAATATTTTCTTTCGAATTCTGGCTTTTTAATCAAGAGTGCAGTGCAAAATTATAAACCTTTATGTTACATAGCTTATTTTTCCAATAACTTATTTTAAGACAAAGTTCTTGTTAAAGATTAGAACTCTCAGACCATCACGTTCAAGTCTAAATCAATGCAAAGTATTTGATGTTACCAAGTGTCGACTTGGACTCTCTTTCTTCTTTAAATCACTCACAAGGAAGATTTTCCTTCTATTTGGTCACGTTTTTCTCAGTGAAGCAAAGCTATTGAGTTGAAGATCTGTTAGTATTAGGGTGATTTTGTCAAAAGCTGGAAGGGCAGCCCAGCACCAATCCAGCAGACAGCAATACTTAGGTATCTTGGTAATGTTTTAGATACTATGTAGCACCCACCCAGGATTCTGTCTCAAGGAACTTATTGACTGAGTGGAGATCCTTCTGGTTCATGAACTCCTTAACAATTCCACGTACAAATGTCACATAGTTCATAAAGAGTCTACTAATCAGATTGGTTGAATAGATCTACTTTGTTTTATTTCCAACTTGCAAAATTCTCCTCAAGGGAGATTAGGAAGAGGAAAAAAAAAAAAAAAAAAACCTAGCCAGAATTCCAGTTTCAGAAGTTAGGACTGTGGTTTGAGTGCTGGGAAGGCAAGGATGACACACAGGAAGTGTGTCTAACCACAGGATGAATAGAAAGAGTTGAGAGCCAGCCTCACAAACAGATACTGATAGCAGGTCCAAAGAACGGAATTGAGTCCCTTGGGAAAAGGGTGCTTATTCCACATTGTTTTGAATACTGTTGTGGTGACTGACCTAGGCTTACCTTGTAGTAGGAAGATGCATGGTCAGGGTAAACCAGCTAGAAATGTGAGTTCCAATTGGAAGTCAACTTCTGCACCCCTCAAGATCTACACTCCTCTTTCTCTGTGTAGACTGTTTCATTCATCCTTAGCAGCAAAGGAAGCCAAGGAACAAAGAGGCAAAGCAACCATGCATCCCTTGCACTAAGAAAAACCTAAAAAATGGGGTTAGAGAATTAGGATCTTATTCATCTCTGATGTTTGACTCATTATCATGGACAATGGAAACATGATTTTTCTCAAAGTTTTTTGTTTTTTCCCCACAAAAAATAAAAAAAAAAAAATTAAAAAGTTTGGATACCTTACCTACTTTCAGTAGTTATTCTTCTTACTGAGTTTACTGCTCTCAGCATTCTGACAAGCTCCAAAAATAATGACCTATGCTGTGTATTGTTAAACGTTCAGTCAGACAGATAGGTCCAGATGGATGAGGGCTGTGTTGCACACAGACAAGTCAGCATTATTTAATCAACGTTTGTTTGATCTGTGTAAAACAAGTATAAATGTAAGCTGCGTCCCATCTGTTTTATCATCCACGTGAAGCCAACCTCATTTTTAAAACTTGATTCCTTATGTAATTGTCCTAGAATGACACAAAATGATAAGTTGGGAAGAAATATCATTCGGAATGGCGAGGTAAAGGATAGTTATACTTAGAAGTGCTTCATGTGTTGAGCTTCCTCGTTTTGCACTGGCATTCTGGAAGGTTAAGGAACAGAATCACCCCCTAGTAATTCTCAGCTGAGCTCTGAATCCACACAGACCTGAGTTTGAGGATAACTAGGAGTCTGTGTGTGTTGAGCCAAATTACTTAACCATCAAGTATCACAGTGCCTGTCACAGAGCAGACTCTCAGTACGATTTATTCAACTAATCTTTCTTTGTTTCAATTTCCTTGTCTGTTAAATGGGGGGAAAATCAATAGTTACCTCATAACAATTGTAAAAATTAAATTATATTGTATCTAAAGCATAATGACTCAGCAGCCATTATTATAATCATCCTGTTACTTGTAGGTCATTTTCTCATGGACCACACTTTAAGTCGAAGCATATTAACATGTGGTACACAGCTCATTTTTCCATTTCCAATTTTTGAACAATGTAGGTATTTAATAAATCACACAGAGGGCTAAGGATATGTGGCAAGAGCAGAAATGAACAGGAATTAACCGTGTGTTTGAGTTGATAGATGCAATTTTATTATTATAATGAAATGTATGCCATTTTATACATATGTGGGAAATCTTTGTCAGAATAAAACAAGGTAATCAGAGAGTAATAGAGTAATACCTTTTACCAAAAGCCACTATATATCAGTGACCTTAGCATCTTGTTGGGATATCTGAGGGGATAATGTGACAGTGTCTTTACCCAGTAATATTTACTAGTATAAAGTTGAATATTAGTGGTAGTTTTAATTTCAGGATTATGCACTTAATTTCTAAGCCATATGATAAAGGGTATTAAGTATTAAAAATTTTGGTACATGGTACATTGAAGATCTCATACTGTGTTCTCTAACTTCCATGTTATATAGAGAAACTACTCCATGATTTCTCTTTAAGAACTTTTCTCAAAAACATGTATTCATTAATTCTATTCATTTATTTTTAAAAAATATCCATCAAACTATTTACTAAGCCAGATACAATGTAGATGCAAAGATCACTAAAGCTATACATGTAAGACTATGACAAGGAATTTAGAGTTGAAGCTATAAACTCACGAGAGCCAGTAGAAGTTCTTAGACGGGGGCCTGACTCATCTCTGCACTTTACAAAGCATCTTTGACCACAGTGTGAAGAATGGATTGGAATAAGAGGTTAGAGAAGGGATTTCAATGAGACAGCACATGCTGAAGTTCTGGATGTAAGGAATGGCATTGGGATTGTGGATTTAGGACCAACCTGAGATAGTTTAAGGTGAGTCTTAGTCATTGAATTGAGCTATTCTGTGTAGAGCAGATTCAGGACATGTGAAAACTACTTCCTGGACATGTGAAAACTTCAGCTTCTTTAGCTCACGGATTACTTGGAGAGAATTGTGTTCTGCAGGGGATGGCATACATTCCCTGGAAGAACAAATTAGAAAGTCCTTTGATAACATTATTCTTTAGACCCCAAAGTCATGGATAATTATTTCACTGAATACTGTTCAATGATTGCCTCTTTAGATTAGCACAGGCTAAGAATTTTTTTAAAAAAGGTTTTATATTCCTTAGTTAATTTGAGACTGCATAGTTATACTGCTGATTTTTTTTTTTTTTACTATTTGGAAGCTATTTAAGAGTTGACAGGCTTAATGTGCTATACTGTCATGCTATCCATAGAAAGCATTCATCTTTAATATGATAGCAGTTGTGCATGTTTTACTTTCAACTTCTGCAGATACATGTAAAGGCATAGAAAATATCTAGCATCGAAAATAACTGCTAAAAATTCTATTACCTTTTAAAAAATATTTCACCTGGATGTAAACCTATATTATTATTATTATTATTATTATTATTATTATTATTATTATTATTGAAACCTTGATTTTGATCACTTAAAATCATGTATGTTATTATTCAACTCATATTTCCATATAGCATGAAATTAGAAATCTTAAAAAAGGTGTCAGCATCCTGTGATGAAAGAAAAGATGTTTTGATTTCTTAGCACAGCTGGAAATTAACAAGTCCACTAGAGTCTTATTTGCTCTTGAGATAATAGTTCTACCTATAACGTGTGTATATGTATATATGTGTGTATATATAATATTTGTACAATGTTTATGTTAGATTGTTCAGTAATTTTGTTTAAATATTTTGGTTGAATAATTTCTTGGAACATCAAAGAAATTAAAGCTAAAATAAGAAAAGAACTAAACTTGATGAACAATGATAACCCAATAGTAAAAGGAAAAAGGATAAATAGAAAAAAATACTCTATCTGCATTGGGTTATAAATTTACTTTCTGACTGTGATGATTAATTTGACCTCCCTTTGTTTCTGTTATTGTTAGCAGTTTGAGTTGTACAAATTGCCCAGTGATAATTGCCCATAGTATGTTACAAAGAAACAGACAAAACCCTAAATTGCCATTAAGACGTGAGCATGTAGGAGAAGAACAGGCAGCATAGCCGGTGAAAGACAGTTCAAGTTAAAGACTGGGCTTAGATGCACATAGGAAAGTGTAATCAAGATTAAATAATGTTCACAGAACTAGAAGGAATATCGAACCAAGATAACTTGTAACTACAGCAGCAGAGAGGAAAATGGAGAAGTAAAACTAAAAACCTGCCTTTCCAATATTAACAGGACATCCATATTGATTTTTTTTTCTTTTGAATCAATGTTGGTGACTATCACTGTTTCTTACTATGATTAATCATTTTGTGTTATGCTGTTTGCATTAGTGTTCAGCTTCAGAGCTAGAGTGGTCTTGATGGAGTGTGACTTCAGAATTTTCTTTTTAAATCATGTTTGTTACTGTGATAAATGCCTATAATTCTGTGTTATTCACTATTGATTTTGTATGTGCTGTTTTTCTTTTAAAGTCAATTGATCCTGGCCAGCAGTTCACATGGGAACATTCAAATTTGGAAGTAAACAAACCAAAGAATAGATATGCAAATGTAATTGCATATGATCATTCCCGTGTTCTCCTATCAGCAATAGAAGGTAAGGAAATGCAGATATTATTAAGACTGTTATTTTGGGGGACTTAAATACATACATGAGAATTTAGGTTTAGCTAAGTTATTAGCCATGTAGGAAATTACTTACCTAAGATTCATATACAGTTTGTTCTCACTCTTTCCTATACAAATACATCTCTTACAGATGCACAGTCTCACTGATACCATGACACAAGAGCACCATCCCTCATTACCTTATTACTTCCACCCCAGACTTGATACTGTAATTGATGTTATTATAGGGGAAGCAAATTGGGCTTGGCTTGTTTACTGATGGCTGTTGAAGGGTATGAATGAATAGAGGATTGTCAGAAGGGGCCCATAAATGAACTGGCTACTTAAAGAGGGAGAGAGGATTGATTGTTTTTAAATAAATTTGGATATCCACTGGGGAAAGTTTGAAGTTTAGGAGTTGGTGATATAATTAATATAAATTAAGTACATTGGAAATGTTTGGTGTGTCTAATTTGTGGACTGCTTGGTAATCTGTCTCTCAAAGCTGCAGTAGAAGTATATTCTAGAGAGAATGATTAATTGAGGATTACTCCTGAAACATACCTAGCTCTCCTTCAGAATGCATGGAGAGAGTAGTTTTCACTCACCTTTATCTAGTAGTAAACCCCTTTCCCATGCCATAGTCGAACATTTTAGGAGTCCTTGCTTAATATTCAGCATTTTCTTAGTCTTTGGGGTTATAGTAGCACATTGGATTGAAAAGTCCTTACAAAAACAGTTTGTCATGCCATTCAAACCCTTCTGTGTATCACGTAGCCAGCCAGGGCTACCACCTATCTCATAACCATGCTCATCCCCACTGGTTCCTCAAGGGCTTTGTGTCCTCTTCAATGGGTAGGCTCACTGCTTAGTTTGCTGATATCTTATAAAACATGGAATAATACTAGCTTCAGACCCAGCTCTTCTCAGGACTTCACATTTTGGACATTTTCACCTGTTTTTGTTCATGTATCTTTCCCTTTTTGTTTTTTGCTTCCAAAAACGATGTTGACTTCCACCTTATCTCATAGCTCTGACCAAGTCCTGCCTGCCTCCTTAGTGTCCAAGATTAATTTGAAAGCGGGACTCTGCTTCAAAGCTTTCCTAATAAGCACCAAGGCAATGATACATTTATTTTCAGATTTGGGAGAGCAAGAAATAATCTTTCAGCATTTGAGCAGGTTCATATCTGCTGTCTCCTATCCTCAAAAGGGTGTTGTGTGGTATAAATAGGCTTTTAAAATTCTCACAATTTACTTTTGATTGCGGAAAATGTTATAGGCCCTTTTTTAGTTGATCAAATATACTAGGTGTTCAAGAGTTAAAATCTCTCATCCTGGATTAAGTTCATCAAGTTTCACCAATGCTAGTTTAGGCAGCAATGCTAGTTTAGGCAGGGTAGTGTCAAAATAGGTAATTTCTTATTTTCAGGTTGTTTAGAAACTATAATTAGTATATGTAGAGGGTTTACGTTTTATATGCATATTTCTCATTTTAAAATATAAAAAAATAATAACAATTTATCATCTCAGGTCTCTTCAATTATTTCCATAGTAAATGTAAAGCAAAACCAAGTCACAGAGAAATCATTTTTTTCATTAGCAAAGTAAGGAAAATTATAGAAATAAAATAGACGAATGTAAGATGAGAATGAATTTGGCATGGAGAGAACTTGTCACTCAGCCTTTGCTGTATTATAATGTTATTTCCACTCAGAATTAGGTCACTCAGTACTACTAGCTCCCTATATTTTTGGCACTTTGTCATTATTTTTCTTAACCTGTTATTTTCCACATCTGAACCACGAAGTGTATTGAAGAATAATAAAAAAAAAAAAAACCTCCTTGAACCTTTATTATGATAGTTGGAAACGTATGCTCATTTTATTCATATGCTATTTTTACAATATAGAAGCAAAAGCACTTGAATCAGACTAGAACCCGCCTTTTTATAGCTCTATGCCCGCTAATATACCCAAAATCTAGAGCTGACCTAGAAACCAAAAGTCTTTCAATTTGAAGTGTTACACAAAAGGTTAGAGCATTTAATTGAAGTTTATGGGCTGCACAGAAAGCTTTAATCTAGATTACAACCATGAACAGCACTTTGTCTTCAACTAAGCCCTAAACAGTAGGTATTTAAGTGTACAGTCAATCATTCTATATCCCAGACCCCAAAGACAGAATGATGGCGACTGGAACCACATGACCACTACCTGAACCCTCTCCTGGATGGACAGGTTTGCTAGCCCAGGACCAGATTTTTTGAGTGTATTAAAATGTTAAGTGACTTCATGCACAATTTGTAACATGTAATGGGTTCCACCTGTGTCACTGACTGACTGAAATGACTTTGGTTGAGGGCCTTAATTTGGGCATTTTAGTAATTCTTCCAATAGAGCTAGCCTCTCTCTCCTTATTATACTGCAGAGTGATCTGACAGATACTAGAGAAAACACTAGAATTGGCTGCGGCGATTCATGTTGTCTTTGTCTTTGCTTAATAGAGCAAACTTTTACTTTACTTCAATTGAGAAGATGACAGGGGGAAAAATATACAAAATTGGGAATTGTGTGTGGGCACCAACGTACTCATTGAACTTCTTGAAAGCAGTGACATTTCATGACATGTTTCCAAATCACACTCATTTTATTTATGCTGAGAAAGATGCGGAATGAATTCAAGAGAGTTCTAAATACAAAAGCCTTTCAATTGTTGAATTATAATCACTGTAGAAACTCAATTGCATTTTTGACAAATCCAATTACCACAGGGATCCCCTCCATGTTTAAGCAGTTCTTAAGATAAAATAGTAATTCCTAAATAAGAGAGGTAATAAGAGTTATTTTAATGGTTTAAGAATAAATATTTTCAAATAAAGATCAAAGGGAAGCTAATACTGATGTATGCACAATCACAAAATATAATATGTTAATCTCATAATACAAAATTGTTCATAAAGTATACTTTTATTAAAGCAGGAAAAGAGACAAATGAAAAGATGAAGAACAAGGAAATCTGAGTTTGGGGCATACCTCTGTCACTAACTAGCTAGGTAATCTTGACTTTATGATTATCACTAATCTCTTTATTCCTGAATTCTAAGAGTTTGTCTTATGTAGTTTTTGTATCAGTTATTTATTTATAGAATACAGCAACCTAATGAGGTAGTGGCATAAATATATTACTTGATAAAAAAGTACCCATTAGAGACAAGAAAACTGAAGCTCAGAAAATGAGCCCAGAGTTGTTCCACAAATAAATAACGTAGCTCACATTAGAATCCAGATCTTCTGATTCCTCCACTGACCCACACCAAAAAGGAAGCTTTCCCACTGATAGAGGATGCCTGTACTCTATCCACTGACAGAGGGTAGACTATGCCTAAGCCAGTTAGTATGGATCTAAAAGCCCAGCCTTATCATTTGACATTAGCCCCCTATGGCTAATGCAGACATTACATTTTGTAATTTCACTTTGTTTTATCATATGAGTAATCTGATATACTGACACAATATGGGAACATCAGTGATCCAAATGCATCAGAGTCACAGCACTGCAAATAAGTACAAGTGCATCTCTACCTGACTCTAGGTGATCTGCTCACCTCAACTGCCTTCATATACTTCTCTAATTTCTCATAAACCCAGAAATATCAATCAGTGGAAGGTTATTTATTGTAATGCCTTATAACTAGCTAAAATTAATTATTGCAGTTCTAGGTTTTTTAAAAAAGAGGTTTTTGTTCTAAAATATAAATAATATTCATGGCTGCCAGTGCTTTATTTTCCTTAGTAGGATTATAATTAACATTTCACTTGAAAAGCCATATTGGCATGATTTTTTTTAAGTTGTTGGTCAAGTCTAAATATAAAGCAAAATTAAAGTGATACTTTTCAATTCGGCAAGCATGGGTAGCTATTGTATGGTAGATACCTGTCATAGATTTTATATGCATTACCTACCCTGTTCAAAACAACATTAAGTCTAATTATTACCATCAGAATTTACAGATGAGGAAACTGGAACATAAAACAAAGTTAAAGAACTTTTAAGATCAATAGCTAGACATGGCAGAGCCCAAATGGTAGTTGGTTAGATTCAAGGCTGCTGTTCTCCCCAGTACAAGATTTAGGCCAACAGTCCCTTTCTCAGATTTGATGGCTGTGTCTGTATGTCATACCTAACTCAATTTAAGGTATATTGGAAAGAATGCTGGATAAGAAGATGGGAAATTGGAAACTAAATCCTAATTTAAGCAGCTGTATGACTTTGGCATGTCACTTGATGCAGTTGACAATAACTCTTTGGAAGAGTTGGATCCATTATGAATTTGACAAACATTTTAAATCCCTCTTGAAAACAACGGGTACTCACACACTGTATTTGCACACTCATTTCAGGGAATTTGTGGACACTCAAGTCTCTGCAAGCCCATTCTCCAGTTTAGAAACTCCTGACTTCTTTTATTCTGTTTCCTCAGAAATCTAGGTTGCATACCACCCTTCCAGCTATCTCTGAAATGTTGAATGTTTATTCTAAATCCTCAGCTCAAAAGACAAATAGTAAATCATAGACATCAAGGAATTGGCTCCTTCTACAAACACCCCTCCCACACACACACATACACACTTAAACCAGTGGGTTTATTCTAAACAGGTTTATTGGCTGGTGTGTGACTCTCACCAAAACAGGTATAAATAGTTGGATCTATGAGAGATTCAGAAATGATAAATAATAAGCCCCAGAATGATATATGTGTTTTTCTTAGCACTGCTTATTTATTTGATTTTTTTAAACAAATGCTTGATAATATATGGGATTGAGTCTATACCTTTTTGTGCTGTTATAAAAAGCTGCCACAAATTGGGTAATACAGAAACAAGAAATTTCTCATATTTCTGGAGTCTGTCACATCCAGGACCAAAGTGCTAGTAGGTTTTAAGTCTGTTGAGGGCCTGGTCTCTCTGTTTTAAAATGGTACCTTGCT